TTATTGTAATGACTCATTTGTTTACATTATTATAATTTTATATGATGTCACATGTTTGTGAGAGGCTGAGTATGAAGCTGTATGTAATAAAAAATAATTGAGAAGACAAAAATGTTATATTTAAGTTGTTACCGTTAATTTCATATTATAAATTTATGAGATTATGTGCAATAAAAACAATAATCTGATTATTAATATTTGCTTTCTTATTCTTATGATTATTTTTGAAAACATAAAGCAACATGGCCTAAAGTATACACGGGACGTGTCCAAGAAGGTTTAGGATATTTATATTGCTGTCCAGGACCCGGGCCGGAACCAGAGAGTGAGTCAACAAGGGAACCATCATCATCACGGCATGTGTACTTGTCAGCTTGTACATGAGGGTGCAGCTCACTACATAGCATAGTATACATACAAGGCACATTGATTACAAATATATTGTGGACAAGTATTGACATACAAAATAGGGGAATGTTCTCACAAGAGGTTATCACCAGAACGGCACCTGACCGGTGAAGTGAAAGTGAAACCACAGACTAAAAACTGAAAAAAGTCGACTCGGCTGCTTCGTGAACATTATGTTATTGACCACGAATAATGCTTTAGATATTGCTTTTTTTCTATTTCAGGTGTGGGAATATAATATTAGAATAACACACATACCTCACACAGTTCGTTTAATTCATGTTGTGTGAAATCGATGCTTAACAATATTTCTATCGACAGCACTCGAGTGTTTACCAAGGCGAATAGACGGTACGAGTTATCGGCCTTGATATTGTATGACACCCGGTTAGGGCACTGCGAAATCGGTAACATATTTTCCCGCCACTGGGAGTCGGCGGTCCCTTTACTTTAGGTCTCTGTTAATACTCATCTCTTTCAACCTTCCTATTTTCTTCATTTATTAATCACAACTTTCAAGTAAAACATCTGATAATACGTGTAATATTTTAGTAGTTGAATTATGATTAAATGTAAGTATAACAGTTCAATGAAAACTATTAAAAAACTTTAATACCTTTTTAACAAAACAGACCCCTCCCAACGCTAACAAACATGGCGACCACTGCGGCATCGATTCTATATCCGCGAATTGTCAAGCAGACAGGACCAGTGTGTAATGCTGTGGTTTTGTTCCTGCACGGATCTGGTACGTTTTCATGATCGAACTGACATAATCAGTAGCACGTTGGGTCATTGATTACAGATAACCTCCAATAGGTCTATTCAGTGATCACGCTAAATTCTGGGTGTTAGTAAAACCTGGAACGGCTTGCCGAACTGACTACGGAACGCTGTGGCGGAATCAAAGACGGATCCGATCAGATGGATGGTGTCTATATAAATGTGCTCGGGGATCAACAAATAAAACATGAAAAAAATAAAAACAGAAATAAATAATAAAAGCGAAAACGCGTGGAGTAAAAGAAAAAATTCAGACAAGTTTTCCCGAAAAACACTGAACATAACATATAGAACTGAACAACTTAAACTTGTATACTAGAATGGAAATATGAAGGAATTACAGGATTTTGTACATATTTGGTTTAAAGCATCCTTTGGTGAAGGGGACTTAATTTTGTATAAACGGTGGGTCTGTACCCCCTGGGGGCAGAGGGGCGGGGCCCAATAGGGAAATATAGCAAATTCTTCAAAAGCCTTCTTTTTCTGTAGAAATGACAGGATTTTGTCCAAATATGGACTGAAGCACCCTTGGGTGAAGGGAACTAATTTTGTATAAATGGTGGGTCTGATGTGAGACGGGGTCCAATAAGGGATATAAAGGAATAGCTTTAATAATTATCCTTCATCTTCCGTTGAGATGAAGGTATTTTGACCGAATTTGAACAGTAAGCATACTATTTGAAAGGATTTGAATCAATTTTGTATAATTGGTGGGTTTGAACCCCTCAGGGACAGAGGGGCAGGAACAAATAGGGAAAATAGAAAAATAGCTTTAAAATAATTCTTCTTCTGTAGGAATGACGGGATTATGTCCATATTTGGTCTAAAGCATCATGAGGTGAAGGCAGCCTGATTTTGTATCAATGGTTGATCTGACCCCCCTGGGGCCCAGTAGGGGAAACATAGCAAATTCTTCAAAATCCTCATTTTCCTGTAGAAATGACAGGATTTTGTCCAGTTGCATATAACTATAACCCCTGACTAACCATGTAATACATGTACACTACCAGCAACATCTAGCTATTCCAACTTTAATTTTGCTAACATTTCCAGGTGAGCGATACAGGCCCTCTGGGCCTCTTGTTTAGTATTTTCCTGCAGCAGCCTATTGTTAATTAATACCATGAGTAACTCATTATGTGAGCGTTCACGATACCTGTCTGATATCACAATGAACGTACATGTACTGTTTTAAGACACGGATCAACGGATACACGTAACGTAATATACCCTGATATTAACCTGGTGGGGTAATTGAACTAATACCGTCCACCGACAACCAATTCTTTGAAAGATTTCTTGTCTTGAACAGATTTTTAGACACTTGATTCATAACGAATGAATCTGATCATATATTAAATTGGAATCTTCAGGGTCGTAAAACGTCGCATATGATTCAGGTTACAGTAGGATACGTGCGACTGCTTTTGAGGTCACCGTGTCAAATGTCTAGGATTATGTAGCAGGTTTTAATTGTACATAGGATTAAGGTCGCCTTCTAGCTTCAAACTAGAGGGAATTTCCCTTTAGCTCAGTGGTAGAGCATCAGACTAGGAACCTGGAGATCGAAGGTTCGATCCCCGGTGGAAGCACACTGTTCTCTTTCCTGGTGTCCGTGGACAGGGAATTAGAACCTGGGTTATTGTGTTCGAGGGCGAACACATTTAAAAAGGGGGAGTAAATAAGTGAGGCAGGTTTTAATTGTACATGGGATTAAGGTCGCCTTCTAGCTTCAAGCTAGAGGGAGTTTCTCTTTAGCTCAGTTGTAGAGCGTCCGACGAGGAACCTGGAGATCGAGGGTTCGATACCCAGTGGAAGTACACTATTCTCTTTCCTGTTACAGTTTTATATGCACATTAAAATGTGCCCTTGTATAGAAAATACATTTTGTATGAATGTGTCATGAGCTTTGTCTATCATTCATGTAGGTGACACAGGAGACGGAGTTTCAGAATGGGTAACTATGGCATCTAGAGGAGAGTTCCACTTCCCCCACGCGAAGGTGTTGTACCCCACAGCTCCCTTAAGGTGAGTACGCACCCCTAGCACCTAGGGTTACCGAGCTCCAACCGATTCAGTGTCGTACCTCTCATGATTAGGGTATTGTTACTACATAAAATGTTGATATAGAAGTGAAAAGTTTCTTGCGAAAACAGGGCGCAATATTGTTTTTGAAGCCTTTTCTTCTGATAATGTTCGCCTTGAAGTTATAAAAACTGCTTTCCAAAGCATCTTCCATTACAAAATAAATTTTACCGCAAGTTTTTACAACATATTAATGACTCTATAACCAATAATGATTTTCACTATAAATGAAAAAAAAAACGGTTGCAAAACTAGTTCTATTTGCTTAATATGAAACACTCTTGTTGGCCCGGTTGGTAAGCACAAGCAAGGGGTCTTAATGTGACAGGAAAACGGGGGTACCAGGAGAAAACCCAAGTGGTAGGGCAGACAAGTGACCCCAGGGTATACCATCGATCTTTTGTTTTTGGCCCTAATAATAAAAATAAATATACAGCATTTGATATAGCACCCTATCTAGCTATAGTAAGCCACTCTAAAGCGCTTTACAGTACATAGATATACAATTAATACAATTTTGCATATACGTAAAAGGAGCTGCCTTATCAGGCGCCAGCTACTAGTCCTATGCCACCTGGCTAATATCTCACTATGTGTGTATGCCTGCGTGTGTGCTGGATATGTATTGCGTTGTGTTCTGTTTGTCGTGTGACCGTGCTTCCAATGGCATCATTTATAGTACCAACTCACTTGAACACTACAGCACAGATACCACAGACTAATGACATCTTCTGTGTAGATGGGTCGTCAGGAGTGTAACAGTAATACTATTAGTTATAGGCTTGCAATTGAATGTTTTTTGTTTAAACATTCATGCAGGCCGGCAAACTTTGTGGTATTGAAGTATCTGTATCAGCATAACATTATACAACTGTTGCTTCTTACGATCATACATATATGTAGCCCTACGAACGCATTTTTTCCTGACAGTGTTTATATTATAATATAATTTAAAGGGACTTACAATGGCTATGCAAACATATGCAGTTATAATGGACTCTTGCTTATTCATTAAACAGTCTCTAGAACTGAGAGTGGGCTTGCTGACAGTATAGGGTATGGACTTTGCAGCTAACAATGTTTGAATAAATTTTTCTATTTGAAGCTATGTTTATTTTGTTCATGTTAATGTATATTAGAAATATAAGCTATCTCCTTGCGAATTTTCTACATGTACATGTCTTTGACATATGTATGTATTTCTCTGTGTTTCACTGTTTTGCATTCAAACAAATTTGTAGAACTTTACATATGTACAAATAAAAAATTTGAATTTGAATTTATATTTTCACCAGACATTATACACCGATGGGCGGCGCCATGAGTAATGTGTGGTTCGATCGCATGCAGATATCCCCTACCGTTCCGGAACATTCGCAGTCGGTGGAGGCCATGTGTGCCAACCTCTCTACCCTGATACAAGAGCAAGTGGCGAACGGCATCCCTAAGTCACGGATCATCATAGGTTGGTATATATTTATGTGTGTGTGTTTAATTCCAATGTCGGGATGTTTTCCCAGACAAAAAGTCAAAAAATACAAGGGCTTCGCTCTAGATACACATGTATCTTCTCTGCACCCATGAAAAACATCATAACAAAATCGAAAAACGTGTGAAAGAACTGATGTAACTGCGACTCGGAGCGCATTCATCTGGTGAATCAAATAAGTTTGAATGTTTGGATCTTGAAATATTCGACTTTACATGGATTTAGATCAACACTCAGAATGTCTTCCCCTTATAGTTCTTTATGTATAGGGGATGGCATTATTTCCGTTTTCTGAACAAGTGTCGCTCTGTATTGTTAACTGGCAATAAGGTGCTGACTGCAGCAAAGACACCTCTCTAAATATTGTCAAATTACCTTTCCTTAAAATATGACATTCATGGATACTAGTATATCTTTTTGTGTAACTTTTGATCTTGCAGGTGGCCGCTCTATGGGCGAGGCTATGGATAATCGTACATCTTTTGCATTGTAACTTTTGATTTTGCAGGCGGCTTCTCCATGGGCGGAGCTATGGCTTTACATCTTACCTACAGATTTCATCGTGATGTGGCAGGCGTATTCGCGCTCTCCTCTTTTCTCAACAACGGCTCGGCCGTTTATAAGGTATAATTGATGTCACACTTGATAACGCCAAACGAGTATAGAAGTAATACGAAAAAGCCTTGTAGTATAACTTTATGCTATAATTCTTCTATAGCTACCACCATTCCAAGTCATAATTCTACTACAGCTTCTACCTCTCCAAGTCATAATTCTACTACAGCTACCAACACTCTATAGCTACCAACACTCCAAGTCATAATACTTCTATAGCTACCACCACTCCAAGTCATAATTCTACTACAGCTACCACCACTCCAGGTCATAATTCTACTACAGCTACCACCACTCCAACTCATAATCCTTCTATAGCTACCACCACTCCAAGTCATAATTCTACTAAAGCTACCACCACTCCAAGTCATAATTCTACTATATCTATCACCACTCCAAGTCATAATACTTCTATAGGACTCTATAGCTACCAACACTCCAAGTCATAATACTTCTATAGCTACCACCACTCCAAGGCATAATTCTACTACAGCTACCACCACTCCAAGTCATACTTCTACTACAGCTACCACGACTCCAAGTCATAATACTTCTATAGCTACCAGCACTCCAAGTCATAATTCTACTACAGCTACCACCGCTCCAAGTCATAATTCTACTACAGCTACCAACACTCTATAGCTACCAACACTCCAAGTCATAATCCTTCTATAGCTACCGCCACACCAAGTCATAATTCTACTACAGCTACCACCACTCCAAGCCATAATTCTACTACAGCTACCACCACTCCAAGTCATAATTCCACTACAGCTACCACCACTCCAAGTCATAATTCTACTGCAGCTACCACGACTCCAAGTCATAATACTTCTATAGCTACCAGCACTCCAAGTCATAATTCTACTACAGCTACCACCACCCCAAGTCATAATTCTACTACAGCTACCACCACTCCAGGTCATAATTCTACTACAGCTACCACCACTCCAAGTCATAATTCCACTACAGCTACCACGACTCCAAGTCATAATACTTCTATAGCTACCAGCACTCCAAGTCATAATTCTACTACAGCTACCACCGCTCCAAGTCATAATTCTACTACAGCTACCACCACCCCAAGTCATAATTCTACTACAGCTACCACCACTCCAGGTCATAATTCTACTACAGCTACCACCACTCCAACTCATAATCCTTCTATAGCTACCACCACTCCAAGTCATAATTTTACTACAGCTACCACCACTCCAAGTCATAATTCCACTACAGCTACCACGACTCCAAGTCATAATACTTCTATAGCTACCAGCACTCCAAGTCATAATTCTACTACAGCTACCACCATTCCAAGTCATAATTCTACTACAGCTACCACCACCCCAAGTCATAATTCTACTACAGCTACCACCACTCCAGCTCATAATACTTCTATAGCTACCACCACTCCAAGCTACAACCACTCCAAGTCATAATTCTACTATATCTACCACCACTCCAAGTCATAATACTTCTATAGATACCACCACTCCAAGTCATAATTTTACTACAGCTACCACCACTCCAAGTCATAATTCCACTACAGCTACCACCACTCCAAGTCATAATTCTACTATATCTATCACCACTCCAAGTCATAATACTTCTATAGCTACCACCACTCCAAGGCATAATTCTACTACAGCTACCACCACTCCAAGTCATAATTGTACTACAGCTACCACGACTCCAAGTCATAATACTTCTATAGCTACCAGCACTCCAAGTCATAATTCTACTACAGCTACCACCATTCCAAGTCATAATTCTACTACAGCTACCACCACCCCAAGTCATAATTCTACTACAGCTACCACCACTCCAGCTCATAATACTTCTATAGCTACCACCACTCCAAGCTACCACCACTCCAAGTGATGATAATACTACAGCTTCTACCACTCCAAGTCATAGTTCTACTACAGCTACCACCACTCCAAGTCATAATTCTACTACAGGTACCACCACTCCAAGTCATAATTCTACTACAGCTACCACCACTCCAAGTCATAATTCTCCTACAGCTACCACCACTCCAAGTCATAATTCTCCTACAGCTACCACCACTCCAAGTCATAATTCTACTACAGGTACCACCACTCCAAGTCATAATTCTACTATATTTACCACCACTCCAAGTCATAATACTTCTATATCTACCACCACTCCAAGCTGCCACCCCTCCAAGTCATAATTCTACTACAGCTACCACCACTCCAACTCATAATTCTTCTATAGCTACCACCACTCCAAGCTACCACCACTCCGAGTGATGATAATACTACAGCTTCTACCACTCCAAGTCATAATTCTACTACAGCTTCTACCATTCCAAGTCATAGTTCTACTACAGCTTCTACCCCTCCAAGTCATAGTTCTCCTACAGCTTCTACCACTCCAAGTCATAATTCTACTACAGCTCCCACCACTCCAAGTCATAATACTTCTATAGCTCCCACCACTCCAAGCTACCACCACTCCAAGTGATGATAATTCTACAGCTTCTACCACTCCAAGTCATAATACTACTACAGCTACCACCACTCCAAGTCATAATTCTCCTACAGCTACCACCACTCCAAGTCATAATTCTCCTACAGCTACCACCACTCCAAGTCATAATATTTCTATATCTACCACCACACCAAGCTACCACCACTCCAAGTGATGATAATACTAAAGCTTCTACCACTCCAAGTCATAGTTCTACTACAGCAACCACCACTCCAAGTCATAATACTTCTATAGATACCACCACTCCAAGTCATAATTCTACTATATCTACCACCACTCCAAGTCATAATCCTTCTATAGCTACCACCACCCCAAGTCATAATTCTACTACAGCTCCCACCACTCCAAGTCATAATTCTACTACAATTACCACCACTCCAAGTCATAATTCTACTATATCTACCACCACTCCAAGTCATAATCCTTCTATAGCTACCACCACCCCAAGTCATAATTCTACTACAGCTCCCACCACTCCAAGTCATAATTCTACTACAATTACCACCACTCCAAGTCATAATTCTACTATATCTACCACCACTCCAAGTCATAATCCTTCTATAGCTACCACCACCCCAAGTCATAATTCTACTACAGCTCCCACCACTCCAAGTCATAATTCTACTACAATTACCACCACTCCAAGTCATAATTCTACTATATCTATCACCACTCCAAGTCATAATACTTCTATAGATACCACCACTCCAAGTCATAATTCTACTATATCTATCACCACTCCAAGTCATAATACTTCTATAGATACCACCACTCCAAGTCATAATTCTACTATATCTATCACCACTCCAAGTCATAATACTTCTATAGCTACCACCACCCCAAGTCATAATACTTCTACAGCTTCTACCACTCCAAGTCATAATTCTACTACAGCTACCACCACTCCAGCTCATAATACTTCTATAGCTACCACCACTCCAAGCTACCACCACTCTATAGCTATCACCACACTATAGCTACCACCACTCTATAGCTACCACCACGCTATATCTACCTCCACTCCAAGTCATAATTAGCTACCACCACTCCAAGTCATAATTCTACTATATCTATCACCACTCCAAGTCATAATACTTCTATAGCTCCCACCACTCCAAGCTACCACCACTCCAAGTCATAATACTACTACAGCTACCACCACTCCAAGTCATAATATTTCTATATCTACCACCACACCAAGCTACCACCACTCCAAGTGATGATAATTCTACAGCTTCTACCACTCCAAGTCATAATTCTACTACAGCTACCACCACTCCAACTCATAATTCTTCTATAGCTACCACCACTCCAAGCTACCACCACTCTATAGCTATCACCACTCTATAGCTACCACCACTCTATAGCTACCAACACTCTATAGCTACCACCACTCTATAGCTACCACCACTCTTTAGCTACCACCACTCTATAGCTACCACCACTCTATATCTACCACCACTCCAAGTCATAATACTTCTATATCTACCACCACTCCAAGCTACCACCACTCCAACTCATAATACTTCTATAGCTACCACCGCTCCAAGTCATAATTCTACTATATCTACCACCACTCCAAGGCATAATACTTCTATAGCTACCACCGCTCCAAGTCATAATTCTACTACAGCAACCACCACTCCAAGTCATAATCCTTCTATATCTACCACCACTCCAAGCTACCACCACCCCAAGTCATAATACTTCTACAGCTTCTACCACTCGAAGTCATAATACTTCTATAGCTACCCCCACTCTATATCTACCACCCCTCCAAGTCATAATACTTCTATAGCTACCATCACTCCAAGTCATAATACTACTACAGCTTCTACCACCCCAAGTCATAGTTCTACTACAGCTTCTCCCCCCCCAAGTCATAGTTCTACTACAGCTTATACCACTCCAAGTCATAGTTCTGTTCTACTACAGCTTCTACCACTACAAGTCATAATTCTACTACAGCAACCACCACTCCAAGTCATAATCCTTCTATATCTACCACCACTCCAAGCTACCACCACTCTATAGCTCCCACCACTCTTTAGCTACCACCCCCCTATAGCTACCACCACTCTATATCTCCCACCACTCCAAGCTACCACCACTCTATAGCTATCACCACTCTATAGCTACCCCCACTCTATAGCTACCCCCCCTCTTTAGCTACCACCCCTCTATAGCTACCACCACTCTTTAGCTACCACCCCTCTATAGCTACCACCACTCTTTAGCTACCACGACTCTATAGCTACCACCACTCTTTAGCTACCACCCCTCTATAGCTACCACCCCTCTATATCTACCACCACTCCAAGCCATGATACTACTACAGCTTCTACCACCCCAAGCCATAATACTTCTATAGCTACCACTCTATAGCTACCACCACTCTATAGATACCACCACTCTATAGCTACCAACACTCTATAGCTACCACCACTCCAACTCATAATACTACTACAGCTTCTACCACGCCAAGTCATAGTTCTACTACAGCTTATACCACTCCAAGTCATAATTTTACTACAGCTACCAGCACTCCAAGTCATAGTTCTACCACAGCTTCTACCCCTCCAAGTCATAATTTTACTACAGCTACCACCACTTTCTACTACAGCTTCTACCACCCCAAGCCATAATACTTCTATAGCTACCACCGCTCCAAGTCATAATTCTACTACAGCTCCCACCACTCAAAGTCATAGTTCTACTACAGCTCCCACCACTCCAAGTCATAGTTCTACTCCAGCTTCTACCACTCCAAGTCATGGTTCTACTACAGCTTCTACCACCCCAAGTCATAATTTTACTACAGCTACCCCCCCTCCAAGTCATAGTTCTACTCCAGCTTCTACCACTCCAAGTCATAATTCTTTTATATCTACCACCACTCTAAGCTACCACCACTCCAAGTCACAATTCTTTTATATCTACCACCACTCCAAGCTACCACCACCCCAAGTCATAATACTACTACAGATTCTACCACTCCAAGTCATAATTCTACTTCAGCTACCACCACTCCAAGTCACAATTCTTTTATATCTACCACCACTCCAAGCCATGATACTACTACAGCTTCTCCCACTCCAAGTCATAGTTCTACTACAGCTTCTACCACTCCAAGTCATAATTTTACTACAGCTACCACCACTCCAAGTCATAGTTCTACTACATCTTCTACCACTCCAAGTCATAGTTCTACTACAGCTTCTACCACTCCAAGCCATAATACTTCTATAGCTACCACCACTCCAAGTCATAATACTACTACAGCTTCTACCACTCCAAGTCATGGTTCTACTACAGCTTCTACCACTCCAAGTCATAATTCTACTACAGCTTCTACCATTCCAAGTCATAGTTCTACTACAGCTTCTACCACACCAAGTCATAGTTCTACTACAGCTTCTACCACTCCAAGTCATAATTCTACTACAGCTTCTACCATTCCAAGTCATAGTTCTACTACAGCTTCTACCCCTCCAAGTCATAATTTTACTACAGCTACCACCACTCCAAGTCATAGTTCTACTATAGCTACCACCACTCCAAGTCATAGTTCTACTATAGCTACCACCACTCCAAGTCATAGTTCTACTATAGCTACCACCACTCCAAGTCATAGTTCTACTACAGCTACCCCCACTCCAAGTCATAGTTCTACTACAGCTACAACCACTCCAAGTCATAGTTCTACTACAGCTTCTAACACTCCAAGTCATAGTTCTACTACAGCTTCTAACACTCCAAGTCATAGTTCTACTACAGCTTCTAACACTCCAAGTCATAGTTCTACTACAGCTTCTCCCACTCCAAGTCATAATTTTACTACAGCTACCACCACTTTCTACTACAGCTTCTACCACTCCAAGTCATAGTTCTACTACAGCTACCCCCACTCCAAGTCATAGTTCTACTACAGCTACCTCCACTCCAAGTCATAGTTCTACTACAGCTACAACCACTCCAAGTCATAGTTCTACTACAGCTACCCCCACTCCAAGTCATAGTTCTACTACAGCTACAACCACTCCAAGTCATAGTTCTACTACAGCTTCTCCCACTCCAAGTCATAGTTCTACTACAGCTTCTCCCACTCCAAGTCATAATTTTACTACAGCTACCCCCACTCCAAGTCATAGTTCTACTACAGCTACCCCCACTCCAAGTCATAGTTCTACTACATCTTATACCACTCCAAGTCATAGTTCTACTACAGCTACTACCACTCTAAGTCATAGTTCTACTACAGCTACCACCACTCCAAGTCATAGTTCTACTACAGCTACACTCAATGTCCCAAGATTTCAGTTGTAGTGATAAGTTCACGGTTCATACAGAATAGAACAGAAATGTACATGTTTGAATGACAACTTAGGTTGGTTTATATAATTGTGGCATTTGTATTTATGTTTAAGGAGCTCGAGTCAGTCCCCAAGAACTCCCCATTACCTCCGCTGTTTTACTGCCAAGGGGAGAAGGACGAGCTCGCACTTCCGATCTGGGCTGAAAACACCTTCAGTCAACTTTCTGCAGTCGGGGTCCAAGGCGTATTTAAAAAATATCCAATATATCATGAATTAAACAAAGCTGAGTTAGGCGCGCTACAAACTTGGATAAAGGGGCGCATTCCAGAGAGTTGAATAGCATAGCATCATTGGAAAGAATGTGTTTGTGTCTGTGAATGAGGAACAGGAGAGACATCAATTTTGTTTCAATGCACAATATTTTAATGAAATTGTTTTGAAAACAGTTATTCAGTATCATGCATGGCGGCAACAATTATTCAGAGCAACATGGCTGCAAAAACGATCGCCCGGCAAAGAAATCTGATAGGAAACGCCAGATCTTCATCCAGTGTTTTTTTTGTTTGTTTTTATTCTTTAAAAATACTGTGACAGTCTACACTGCATCATGCAGAATGCATACACACATCTGTTAGATGAGTATAAAAATAAGGCGCATCTTAGATTTAAAACAATGAATTTGTTATTTATTCAAATATATGTCATCGATTTTTTGTGGAGATGCAAGAACACGTTTATTTTATATATATATATATGTATGTGTATGGTTTTCTTATTTCTTCAAATTCAAGTAAATTTAATGTAAATGTATGATGTTAAAGAAATGTAAATACATTCACGTGTAATTTCAAATTTTAAGTGACAATACATGCAAAAACGCTTGATGAACAAGAGATACAAATGGTGGTACAGAGTGATATTGGCGTCCACCATGCTACCATCTTCATAGGTTCTATGTTCGATTAACATTTCTTTTCTTTCACATACCTTTATCTGTTAGATTGAGTCACAATAACAGTTATCGCCCCCCCCCCTAATGGTACCTTTTTATCAATGCTTCATGCTACCAAACTTTCTTCTATCTTGGTTTTCTGAATAGTCCCAAAATAAATTCGATATGCGTAACTAAGCACGATGGGAACCTTTCATGCGAAATTTGAGAAATAACCCTCCAGAACCTTTTGAGAACTAGCGTTAACAAAATTAAACTTTTAAAATTAGAGATGGCCGTCTTGGTTTTCTGATCAGTCCGAAAATTTGATATGCATTACTACACACCATAGGGGATCCATCCAAGAAAATTCTGGGAAATAGCGCTAACAAACTTTAACTCTCAAAATACAAGATGGCTGTCTGTCGCCCATCTTGTTTTTCTGATTAGTCAAAAATTTGATAAGGGTAACTGCAAATAATGGAGAGCTTTCTTGTGAAATTTGTGGAAAATCCCTCCAGAACTCCCTGTGAAATAGCGTTTACTATAATTATTTACGGACATACCACGCACGTAGGAAAGGTGATTTGAATAGCCCACCATCTGATGTTGGACTAAAATGATACGATATTGCACATCATTTTCAAATTGAAGTGATATACCACATCAAAGGTGTATCGCCCAGTGAGTACCGTGCGGTTGAGTGTATCGCCCAGTGAGTACCGTGCGGTTGATCAACAGGTTGAAACAGTCTTCTGGTTTGTGGGCGTGTCAAGTCTTTTTGAACAAGGTTTGTTGTCGCCCCTACGATTATGAATGCATTCCAACGTATACTGTTGTTTTTGTATGGTTAAAAACCATCTATTTCGCATAAACAAAGTAGATATGTCTACAATGTTTCCAGTATTTTGATTCCTCTTGCGTGCACCGGGATATCCTAATGACACCATCTTCACGTATCCGAAGTTGCAGTATAAGTGTACAACATGATAAGTTAATAACTACGACCTTTGTGAATATCAATTGAGGTTAGGCCGTCGCTCTTTTGTGTACTGTCTAACTTTGCCACAAAACGCTGTCTGAACAGATTTTGACTAATGGTAGGAAACATCCATACACCATTTACGGTGGATTTAATTGTAAGTCGAATCTCAACTTAATTGCTTTAGAGGAAATAATTGGCCGAAGGGCCAAGTGAGCTTATGCCGTGGCGCGGCGTCAACATTTTTCTTTGAACGAATTCTTCTCAATAGCTATTAGCCCTAGGATGATGACATTTGTCCAACAGCATGCTGGGTTGAAGGACTACAAAGTTGACTCACTTTCAAGTCCACAAGGGTCAAGTCAAATATGTTACAATATTTAAACAATTTCTGAATAAACAAGAGGCCCGGGTTGATGATATCTGGCAATCAACATGCTGGGGTGACGGGCTACAACATTTGTTTAAATAAAATGATTAAATTAATCTTTGAACAACTTCTGAATAACCAAATATATTTTGCCAGATTTAACCAAATATTTTGCCGGCAAGTCGACCCTAATCCACTTTCAAGGTCATGGAGATCACATATGTTAAACTATATAAACATCTATAACTTAAAGGCCCAGGTTGAGGCTATTTGTCAGTTAGCATAATGGGGTTATGGGCTGACCAGTTTGTGCAAATGAATGACCTTGACCCAATTCAAGTCACTGAAAGCCAAATGTAGAAAAATATCTTGAAAAAATATCCTCATAATAACCAAAAGGACAAGGATGATTCTTGACATGTAGCATGCAATGATGATGGGCTATAAAGTTTGTTTAACTGAATATCATTGATCCACTTTCAAGGTCACAGGGTCAAATGCGTTTAATTCTGTAAACAAATTCTTTTGATTGACACTGAGTAATATGTCATGATATTCAGGTTGGAGCTTATTTTAGTTCGTTTATATAAATTTGACCATGGTCCACTCTCGAGGTTATAAGTGGGGATTAATACCAAGGCCCGTACTCATGAAACCGTTCTCATGCTCAAGCTAGGATTTTTTTTGTACTCAAACTAACTTTCTTGTAACTCACTTAAGTCAAATGTTAACATTGAAAACAGTATTTGGATTTAAGTCTCTTCCT